GGCCTTCAGAATAACCAGAGGATTAAACTGAAACCCATGGGCTTCATTTAACAGGATGACTGAACCTTATTCCTCTGGATATCACCAGGTACTTGGTAGGTGTTACTCCTTGTAACAACCTATTGCTAAAGCTAAAGTTCAAACAAGTTCTTTCTCTGACCTTCATTCTATTGTTTTGTATGAAAACATTCCAATTTCTGCAAGGAATTAATGAATCAAACTAGCTAAGGACACTGTACCTGTTCACTTGCCACCTGCTTGAGGTACTACTTACCACCTTGTGGACACACTGAGCTTTCCTGTCTCTGTTCTTGTTTATCCCCTAATCTTTTCATAATCATTCAAGTGAGTGAATGCTTCAGGTAAAATTGTTCCTTGAGTATCTTCTGGTTACCCATGAGGCCTTGAATGCCTGTCCCTCTCACTTTGTGTCACTAATATTTTTGGACATATTTTAACTTTCTTGTAGCACATGGTTAGTAGTGGTACATGCCTGTAATCACAGTAATCACAGTTTTCAGAAGACAAAGACAGAGGCAGAGGCAGAGGCAGAGGCAGAGACAGGAGGATCAAAAGTCTGAGGCTTGCTTGACCTACACAGTGAGACCTGTCTAAGAAAAACTACTAAACACAAAAAAAGACTGTGAGGAAGTGGCGCTGTAGCTCAAGTGGTAGAGGGCTTGCCTTGAGCTGAAGAGCTGAGGGACAGCGCCCAGGCCCAGAGTTCAGGCCCCACGACTGACAAAAAAAAAAAAAAAGACTGTGAGTGCCCTAGAGATGAAATCTTTGATTCCACTACATCCCTTTTACCTATTAACTGCTCAAAAAAGTAATTATTTCATGAATAGTCTAGGTTTAAAATTCAGCAAAAAAAACAGAACATTAGAAATCAATTGACGCTGTGATTTTATACGTAAAAGTGTGAGTCATTCACAGTTCAATAATAAAGGAGTTAACAATTCTGGAAAAATATCCCATTAACTTTGTGGCATCTGCAGTCTTTCAGGAGACCTATCGGGTGTCAGCTCTGCCCGGGGAGGTGGGTACATGGGAGAGGCAGGAAGGAACTGCTGTGGGAGATGTGCTCTAGAATGAGGACTGAGCTGGCTGCCCATCCCTAAAACTGACGCACAAACACAAGAATGGAAATAAACACTTCCTAGATTTTCCCCCTTTTTTTGATAAATGTGAAGTAAATTTTTAAAAACACCAGCCTAACAAAAAAGCTTCTTCCTACAGCAAGCTTAACATCACAGATACAAGGAAAGCAGCTGAGCACGGTTATTGTGTACACAGTAAATCAGCCGCAAAAAGGGGCAGCGCAGCAGGGCACCAGGAGTGTGAGATGCACACTTAACCCCTGAACACATCGCCGCTCCATTTCTCCCCATTCCAGGCCTCTGCAGTCTGTGTTAAGTGTGCCAGGGATATAACAGGCCATTTTCAATCTAAATCTTGTTACAGATTAATAAGCAAACATTTTCTTGCTTATTATATAATTTATCATGATGAAAATTACATTGGATTCCTCAAGGCTACATGCTGATACACTCATTTATTCAGAGCTGTGTGGAGCAAGTCATACTAATCTTCATGACAGAAAGGATGTAATAGCAAGATTTAAATTACCTACTGAAAACTACAATATTTGTGTCTGTCCACATGCTACATGTACACAAAATTGTAAGTGCATCTTTATTGTGCTGACAAAGGCTTGATGTCATTTTATTAAAAAATACAATTGTAGGGCTGGGAAGGTGGCTCAGTGGTAGAGTGCTTGCCTTGCATGCATGAGGCCCTGGGTTCGATTCCTCAGCACCACGTAAGCAGAAAAAGCTGGAAGTGGCGCTGTGGCTCAAATGGTAGAGCTCTAGCCTAGAGCTGAAGAGCTGAGGGACAGTGCCCAGGCCCAGAGTCAGGCCCCACGACCGACAAACAAACAATTGTAAATACTAAAATAAAAACCTTGCTCTTCTCCAGGTAATAAATTAAAATGTTGAAATTTGATTTATCTTTGAACAAGCTATATAATTAGATGTAAACAAAATGGTGGACAATCAAACAGGTTAAAGTCTTCTCAAAATAAACTAAGAGAGCTGCATGAACACAGCTAGCTTTGGTCTCCTTGAAGGGCACTCAGAGCAAATGCAGCCAGGGGAGGCTGAGATGTGAGAACATACTCCAAAAGCTATCCCCAAAGGCCAGTGCCTACTGTCACCAATGCATGATCTCATCCCTCTAATTGTTGACGGCAGTGGAGAACCATCCAGCCTCCTAAATCCAGCAACTATTTTGAATGAGCTGAATCGCTCATTCTAGAAATGGGTTCACAAGCTCTTGATACGTTGAACCCAGGAACATTAGCATCACCACACACCTGGCAACCACAGAGAAACATTGTAAAATGTGCTATTTCTAAACACTTTTCCAATGCAAATTCATTTATCACTGATCTTATGAGACAAATACTTTCACCCTAACCATTCAGCCAGAGAGACAGAAGCAAAGATAAAGAAGCATGGTGATATTATAAGAGGTAAAAGGTGAAGGTAGCTGCTTATGTTTGAAGAGCAAACAGGCAAATACACACTCTACAGACAAAGCTACAGTATTCCATTCTAGCCTTCAGTTGATCCTCTAGCTCACACTTCATGAGCATAAAGCAGACCGTAGAAAAACAACAGGCCAATGCATGCCGGCAGTTGGGGGAACTGTGCTTTACAGCATTGTGACCAGAAGAAAACAGCAGTAAACATCAGTTTTACAACTGGTTAACATGGCGATAATAAAATATCATGCACTGAGAAAATCAAAGAGGGGGTAATATTTTCATAAAAGAAGTCATCATGGGATAGTTTGAGAATTTCTATCAGTTCTTTTCCCACTAGGATGACCACGTTTAAAAAGATAAGTATTACACAGGATGACCCACTGCAACAATGATACTCATAAGACACACTGGAAAGGAACTTCTGGGGTGGCAGGGATAAAGTGGGGAGGGAAGGGATAGTGGGAGCAAAACAAAGGAGGGGGTAACAATATTCAACAAGAAATGTACTCATTGCCTTACTCATATAACTGTAACCCCCCCATGTACAGCATCTTTACAATAAAATAAAATTTTAAAAAGCATGAAAAAGAGAAAAGTATTGACAAGGCTGAGGAGAAAGAAGAACTCTTGTACATTGCTGGTGGAAATTAAATACATGTTATAACTAATGTGATAAGTTTGATGGCTCCTTGAAGAGTTGAATACAAAAATCATCATAGGACCAGTAATTCTACTCAGAAAAATGAAAATAGGCGTTTAAATTAAAAAATATGGAAACATGAATGCCCATAGCAGCTCTATTCATAACAGCTAAGAAATGTAAACAAACTATATCTACAATAGATAAGCAATGTGTGGTATAACTAGAGATGGTGGAATGCTATTCAGCTATAAAAGGAAATGAAGCACAGATACATGCTGCAGTATAGTTGGACTTTGTAAGCATAATGCTAGTAAAAGAAATTAAATTAAAAAAGACCGCAGGATGCATGATTCCATTTATGTGGAAGATCTGGAATAGAAAAACTCAAACAGAAAGCATGATTTCATTTATGTGGAAGATCTGGAATAGAAAAACTCAAACAGAAAGCAGATCAGTGGTTGCCAAGGACTAGTGCTTAGTGGGCAAGAGCATCTACTTGGGGCAACCACTATTGGAAATTAGATATGGGTGATGGCTGAAGAGTGTTGTGAATATACTCAATACTTAAGAGTGGCCAACCTCATTTTATATGTGTAAAACACAGAAGGAGAGGAGGGGGGGAGGGAAGAAAGCAGGGAGAAAGGAAGGGAGATAAGAAGGGAGAAAGGAAGGGAATGGAAGGGAAGAAAAGGAAGGTAGGGTAGGGAAGAGGAAGGGAGGAAAGGGAGGAGAGGGGGAGGGGAGGCTGAATCAGAAAAGAACGGGAATCAGGAGGCTGAGTTTTTTTGTTTTTTTTTGTTTGTTTGTTTTTCTTTCAGTCCGGTCGTGGGGCCTGAACTCTGGGCCTGGGCGCTGTCCCTCAGCTCTTCAGCTCAAGGCTAGCGCTCTACCACTTGAGCCACAGCGCCACTTCCGGCTTTTTTCTTTGTGCTTATGTGGTGCTGAGGAATCCAACCCAAGGCCTCATGCATGCAAGGCAAGCACTCTACCACTGAGCCACCTTCCCAGCCCCAGGAGGCTGAGTTTTCAAACCAACACTAAAGCACCTCTACCACCCACAGCGCCTTTTGTACCCATCACTTCTAACTACATGGTTACCCCATGTGCACCCGTTTATTTCACAGCTCCCACCACTGATTTTCCTCTTCCATTATTTTTCCTTCTTGCTTCTCAGGATCAGTGTTCCATCCTTTTTATAACTGGTCATTTACCGTGCACCACTGTCCAATAAAGTTCATGTAAAAACTTGTACAAGTGGGCTGGGAAGGTGGCTTGCCTTGCATGCTTGAGGCCCTGGGTTCGATTCCTCAGCACCCATAAGCAAAAAAAAAAGCAAGAAGTGGTGCTGTGGCTCAAGTGGTAGAGCGCTAGCCTTGAGCTGAAGAGCTGAGGGGCAGCACCCAGGCCCAGAGTTCAGGCCCCACAACCGGACCCCAAAAAAACAAAAAAACAAACCAAAAACAAAAACTTGTACAAGTATGAAGGAGTAATTCTTCATACTATCCAGTCATGTCTTCTAGTGAAATATGTTTGAATATGTATCATGTCAGTATGTCATTTTCTTTATAAGCAATATATTTACACAATTTTTAGCTGGCAATGTCTCAAGGTACCATAAATAGAGTTTGAGAGCTATCACAGAGTGAGTCACAGCTAACGATTATATTGAAATTACAGAAACCTGCTTTTTTTCATTACCTTTATCCAAAATTTCCAATATTAAGATAGTAAATACAACTTGTTAAAAGTAAAGGATGACCTACGCCACAGCGACTCCCGCCCTCGTTCGCTGGAATCAGCACTTACTTGGCAAGTTGTTTCTCAGCATCTGCGCAGAGCTCCAGCAGTCCCATGAGAACAGCAGACACATCCATGTAAGGCTCCCACACTGTGAATCCTCTCCCAATCAGGTCGATGGCTGTTCTCCGGATGGTGCTGTGTGGGGGAAGTTTGGGGCTTGGAGGCTGTAGCAGAAGAAATGTCAGGGCCTTGCCTAAAATTACAAAAGAAGATGCAGAGGAATAAAGGTAATTATACTTTGGTGATGACTTCTCTGCTGCATACTGGCCAAAGGGTTTTGGACAATAAAACCATAAAAACAATCTTGATCCTACATGGTTTGTTCAGCCATGCACTTTCAAGAATGAAGAATAGAAAGTTTTATACAATATTCTGCAGTGTTCGATTACAAATAACTGTATATAAACATGTGTAACTTCAAAACATGGTGAATGATCCTAAATTCCAAATGTTTGTTTTTGTTCCCTCATCAGAACCTACAAAATGGAGATGGTTTCAAATGTCGTTACATGGTATTTCTTAATCTTTCTGCGGAATCGAACACAGTTCACATGAAAGATGCTTCCATCAGGAGCACCTCTCATGAGAAATAATGTTGGGTTGAGGGATGGAGAAAGTGCCATGTGTAGCATAGTCTTCCTCCCTAGGAACTATGCTCTTCCACAGTCTGTAGTATAAACAGATATGTTACAATGACGTTAGGGCAGAGTTAAGTTCTTTATACAGGTTTATTAAACAAATGTAAAACTAGCACAATGCAACTTTAAGCTGTTGTAATGATCTAGATTTTAATTAACATGTATTCTTTTATGTAGAAGATTATGCTGACAGTTTGTAGATATGCAGGTCTAATGGTTATCATCAGCTAAGACCCACTGACTTCAAAAGACATTTTGACATTCAAAAATAAATCAGATGGAACTTAGGAGTTTTCATTTTTAAAGGGAAGAAATGAAGCAAGTTATAAGTCATAGAAGATATGGTACATCAAGTAAACAGAACACAAGTTTCAGGTTGATGACGGAGAGTTAACCACATGCTCCTAGCTTTAGGGAGCCAGCAGACAGCTACAAGCCATGCTTCCATTTCTTTGTCTATAAAATGGTGATGATGTTAGGTAGCTCTCATGGAGTCTGAGTATGAACAAGTTCATGCCCACAGAGGAGGAGCGCGGAGTACTCAAAAACATGACATGAGCCTGGTGCTCGTGGCTCATGCCTGTAATCCTAGCTACTCAAGAGGCTGAGATCTAACTATAGCAATTGGAAGCCAGCCTGAGCGGGAAAGGCCATGAGACTCTCAACTCTAATTAAGCACTGAAAAGCCAGAAGTGGAACTGTGGCTTAAGTAATAGTGTGCAAGATTTAAGCAAAACAGCTCAGGGACAGCTCTCAGGCCATGAGTTCAAACTTCAAAACCAGCATAATACACAAAAAATGATAGATGGGGTTCATAAATAACATGTTGAACTTGCCTGTTTTCTAAATTATAAGCATGAAATATACATTCTAGTTAAATATATCCAACAAATAGAGTCATTTGATCATTTTATCTTATAAACAATTGTTAAGGAGAATGTGTTGAAACAGAAGTAAAGAGAAGTAAAGGGCTCTGTGAAAACCAGAATCTATCTATGTACTGTATACTGGTCCAGTATACCAGTCCTTTCCTCAAGAAAATGCTGACATATACATATCCACCAAATTCTGTAGAAAAATTTCAAGGAAGCCATAACCCTAGGTTAATGATTCATGCAGTAAACAAAAAGGGTTCATATATAAGATCTCTGAGAAAACATCATGGGATTCATGCTTCATATGTGGATAAATTTAACTAGACTGGGACATGGCTCAAGTTGTAGGGCACCTGCCTAGAAAGCATAAGGCCCTGAGTTGAATCCCTAGTGCCATAAATTAATTAATTTTACCTTCAAATGTAACCATGCAAGTATAATAGTAAACTTTTATAAAAGTAGCCCATTTGTTCTCTACTTCCTGTCTGCTCTTCTGTTTCCTTATTACATATATTTAAATTTGAGCATTTCTATGCATTTCTCTATTCCTCTGTATGTCAGCTCCTTGAGTGGAGACACTGTTTTACATAACTTCACATTGTTCAAACCATGGAGCACAGTGCTTTGCTTACACTATGGACTGAAAGCAGAAAATAGATCTGTCATTGTAGTATGGACATGTCTAATACTGCGCCCTGCCCCAGTTTGTCAGAATGATATTACAAAATGTCAAGAAACCTGCCGCTTTCCCCTTTGTTTTTCAGCAAGTTGTAAGAGCTGCAGAGAAACTGCACCTGCTGTTCTCTGTAGACCCCTGAAGCCCCAGCAGCAAGGCCTCCAATCTAAGCACTAGGGCTCCCCGGAGGTAGATTCTTAGTAAGTAATATGGTAGAGGGGAAGTGAAGTTTCCTCAGTACAATGTTTTATAGCATTTCAATCATCATTTTCCTCCACTGCCCTCTACTGTTTCAGTATTCATTACAGGTAGGAGTGATCTGGCAATACTCGGGGTCTTGCTGGTTTTTAGGGCCTCTGTGGTAGCAACTCTGGAGGCAGCTTCCTCACTACTCTGACAGTTTGTTCCTGAGGACAAAAATAAATAGCCAATGGCTGACTTTTTGGGGTTTCCCGTTATTGCTCTGATGCAGTTGGAAGGGCGTGTGGGGGAGGTGATCATTTGCCCTGATGAAGTGACCAAAAAGGGAATTCGTAGGGACAGCCAGAAGGTTTCTGTGCACATGTGAAGGCGGCTGGAGGTGAGGATCTCACCTGGCAGGAAACATAGCCTGCAGATCGCCTCCCCCGGCTTGCCTTAACTCATCTATTTCACTCAGTGACCTCGTAAGTAAAATGCTCCTACAGCAGCTTTACTTTTTGGCTCATATTAGTCTCCAGATAACATAAAGCAAACATCCGCACCATCCTGGCAGGACAGTTTTACAGCTCTGGCAGGCCATGTGGAGGGCATCAATGTAGAAAAGAGAAAAATGGCCAACTTTACACATGGCTTTTAAGTCTATTAGGAAGAGTATGTTTTCTTTCCAACAAGCTATTTTAGAATTATAAAGACATACCAGTGTTAAAATTCTAATCTGTCTCTGACAACTCATCCTAAACAAAACATGTAAATAGAACACGTTCCAAAGCTGTTTTGAATGAGACTTTTGATTTCTAGCTACATTGCTTAACAGTCTCTTAAGACTTTACTGTTACCAGCAAAAGTGACACTGAGGCTCTGAAGGAATAATCCGGATGCTTAAAACTTCAAATTGCTTTGTCAGATGATAAGTATAGTAGCTAGATATGCTACAGTAACACTAGCCTTTAAAACATAGGTATAATAATAATAGAGGTCCCTTTTCCAACTTATTTTCTATTTTTTCATTTAGATTTTTGACTTTATAATTCCAGATAACATAGATACTCTGCAAGATGAACCAAAGTGATACAAAAACTAAACAAAATAGTATCTTTTCTTAATAGGATTTTGACTTCATGATCACAATTTTCTCAAACTTTTACTATCTATTAAAAGGTGTGTGTATGGGAAGGAGCAGAAATAGAACCCAGGGCTTCATGAACATACTCTATCACTGAGCTCTACACATAACTATACCCTCCAACTATTATGGATTTTAATTTGTGTGATGAGATGGGATCTAATTTGCATAATCATACTTGTCATACATATCATAATTTACTTACATAAATGTGCCACTGTTCCCCAGTACTTTCTGAGTAAGCAAGGTGGTATAAAAGATGCTGTCACTTACTTCACGACTGACACCTTCATGAAAGGCTCTCCAGTGAGTATTAACAAGTTCCTTATAACTTGTCTGATATTCATTAAAGACTTTCCATAATTAAGTCCTAAGCCAGTCTCTCAAACACGTAATAGTTATCTTGGGGGGAGGGCATTTCTATAGTATACTAACTACTAGGAAAACAAAAAGGAGTGAGACTCAGTTATTTTCTTTAAGAAAATTCATTCGAATTCAGGAGACATTTGCGTCTGCAGGTAATTTTGAGTATATTTTCATAATGTTATAATATTTGTAAGTATTAAGTACCAAGTGCAACATGGTCAATCAACACTTCAGAGATAAAAGAAGGCTTCCAGGAAAGATCATCTCTATGCCAAAACCTAAATAATAAGTAGGAAATTATCAATCAAAGTAAGAGGAAAATGGAAAGAAAATATTCCAGGCAGAGGATATCACATGGGAAAACACCAGGAAAAGAGAAGGAACATGGCAGCATGCTACACATCATTCAGCATGGTTAGAAAAGATGTGTACATTTTAGAGGATGATCATCAAGAGGTCATCGATACTAAAAGTACTATCCTGGGGAACTAGAAAGGTATATTCTCTCACTGTAAGAATCTCAAGTAGCAAGTCCTATCACTGGATCTGGACCAAGATTTCCAAGAGGCTCTAAATGCAACTTATATCTGTGAAATTAAGCACCATTCAGTCAATCTGGGCCATATTCAAGGCTTAGTGATCAAATTCTTGGACTTTCCTACTTGTGAGATAGATGTATAGTACAGATACTGTGGTATCAAGTTGCTAATATCTCTGCCAGCCTACTCCAATGTATAAATGAACACCAGAATGCAGACAGACTCAGAACAAAGGCAAACCAATCAAAACAAAACAAAATCCTTTAAGAGGCAGAAAGCACTAAAACCTAGAACTGGATAAATCACAATTAACTTAGACCCTCTGGCTGTTGAGAAACTAATTCTGTCGTCATGCAGTCAGGAGTAATATCAATAGCTCATATTTTAGTGTCATTTTATTTCAAGCTTTTTATCTCAAGTTATTTTTTTGAAGGGGGACCAACTTCAATCTTAATATTTTTTTGAAAGAGCAAGGCTTTAAGAAAATACTTATACTTTGCTGTGACAGCAAAGTGCTGAAAATGAGACAAGAATTCAGACAAAGGTAGCAAATAAAACCAATGTAAGTTGTGTGTAAAAAGCTGACAGTATTATACTGTAGGCAACTTGTTCCACTGCCAAGACGAACACTGCTTAATCATGATATGACCAATTAAAAAAATGCCAATGCTTAACGTTTTGTAGTATCTGGCTTCTTATGATGGCTAGCCCTATTAAAAGACTAACATGAAAGCCACGGACACACACACACACACACACACACACACACACACAC